ATACAGCAGCATAGGAAGGAATCTGTGAAGGTTTGAGGTCTGGTGGGTGCAAAAAGTCCTGGATGGAAAATGTGCCAAACTCACATGGTCCGTGAGTGAGAAAAGAAATGAAATGTGATATGGCAGGAAGGCAAGCAAGGCTGTGTGAAAGGATGATAATGATAATGTGGCTTGCCTGTAATCACAATCATGCAGGTGCAAGATGCCACACACTTTGGTAAGCGCTTAAAATAAGTTGGAGGAGAGGAGATACTTGCTCTTCAATGCACCAACAAAACAGGTGCAAGATGGAAATTTCCACGCGCTGTGATGGCTATAGCTATATAGGTGCTTAGAATGGGCGAGGAACATGAAAAGAAATGACCACGATGACGCGACGTCAAGCGAGGCTATATGCAAGATTCCACACCCATAACTAGAAGGGCTGCAGACGTTTGCAAATGGCTGTCGCGCGTCATGTAGCTGCGATAGAAAGCAACCTGCGCACGGTCAACTACCTGGATATAACCATGTGCCTGGAATCCGGTACGTACAAGCCATACCGTAAGCCAAACGACACTCCGCTTTACGTAAGCGCAAAGTCCAACCACCCACCGCAGGTGTTGAAGAGCTTACCCGTTGGCATCAACAAGCGTCTGGCGATGATTTCCAGCTCAAAGGAAGTCTTTGAGGAAGCCGTGCCTGAGTACGCCGACGCGCTAGCTGCCAGTGGCCACCCCAGAGTGCTTGTGTACGACGATGTGAACACCCAGTCAAGTCGCAAGAGGAAACGCGGGCGAGACATCATCTGGTTCAATCCTCCGTATAGCGCCAATGTCAGGACAAACATCGGAGGCCAGTTTCTAGCACTAGTAAGCAAGCATTTCCCCAAGAACGCCAAACTGCGAAAGCTCTTCAACAGAAACACCTTGAAAGTCGGCTATAGCTGCATGCCTAATATGGAAACGCGGATCAAAGGCCACAACAAGAAAATGATGCAACCAAAGCACGAGAGAGTTCCCTGCAACTGCCGAGTCGCCGCATCTTGTCCACTGAAAGGTGAATGCAAGTCGACCAATGTGGTGTATGAGGCCGACGTAACGTCGGACAGTGCCCTGAAGACATACACTGGAATGTCGGCACCGGATTTCAAGTCCAGGTATGGAAATCACATGACGTCGCTGCGCCACGAGCGATATGAAGCAAGTACGGAGCTGGCAAAGTATGTCTGGAGCCTAAAACGCCAGAACAAGGCCTATGAGATTGGCTGGTCCATCAAGGAACGTGCACGGGCTTACACCAATGTCACCAAGCGTTGCAACCTATGTATCGCAGAGAAATATCACATCAGCATATCCGATCGCAGCACCTCCCTCAACAAGCGAACGGAGCTCGTATCAAAGTGCAGGCACTCTGCCAAGTTAGTTCCTGCTTGGTGGGTACGGAGTCACGTGACTTGCAGCTACATGACGCGCGACAGCCATTTGCAAACGTCTGCAGCCCTTCTAGTTATGGGTGTGGAATCTTGCATATAGCCTCGCTTGACGTCGCGTCATCGTGGTCATTTCTTTTCATGATCCTCGCCCATTCTAAGCACCTATAGCCATCACAGCGCGTGGAAATTTCCATCTTGCACCTGTTTTGTTGGTGCATTGAAGAGCAAGTATCTCCCCTCCTCCAACTTATTTTAAGCGCTTACCAAAGTGTGTGGCATCTTGCACCTGCATGATTGTGATTACAGGCAAGCCACATTATCATTATCATCCTTTCACACAGCCTTGCTTGCCTTCCTGCCATATCACATTTTCATTTCTTTTCTCACTCGCTAGTCCTACCCCTTGTTGTGTACAGTATGTATGTTTGTGCAGGTTTTTTTCCTTTTTTTCCTCTTTTTAGTACGGGTAAAATAAAACTCAGGGAATGTGAAAAATTACATTAATTTTCAAGTTAATAATACGGGCAACAGAATATAATAATGAGACTCGTAGAAAAATGTTTGTTCAGGTTATTAGGCTGCATTTCCACCACAAATCAAGCGGTTAAAAGTAGGAAGTTACTTAAAAAAAGGTTTTAAAAAATAGACGAAGCGGGCTATGTGTTGAAGATCACGAAACATTTGCGTTTTAATGTACTTTATAATATACTTGTGCACAATCAACAGTTATAGAAAACGGCATGTAATTTGTAAACAGAGATTAATTAAGGCAAACAGAGTTTATACCTACATGACAATTATTATTATTATTATTATTTTGAAACTCGGATGTTGAGCCATTTAATAAATGTAGAAGAGAAAAGGACATACAATGTATGGATACGAGTTAAGAGTAACTCTCCATCACTGTAACATGATACTTTATACAGTCAGAAAGTGCAATAACTAGGCACAAAACTGACAGAGTACTGAAACATTCGACGTCCTGACACCTAGCTTCAAGCGCTACGGAGATGTGTTGAAGCTAGGTGTCAGGACGTCGAATGTTTCAGTACTCTGTCAGTTTTGTGCCTAGTTATTGCACTTTCTGACTGTATAAAGTATCATGTTACAGTGATGGAGAGTTACTCTTAACTCGTATCCATATGTCCTTTTCTCTTCTACATTTATTATTATTTTATTTATTTTACTAGGGTGTTTCCCACAGACCTATGGTCTTCTTACGGGAGCCCCTAGAAAGGTTAAGCATGAACGAACAAATGGGTGATAATCTGTACAAGAGCGAACAGTGGAAGGCAGCATATTCCACCGATCAGAACCTATGTAGCCAAGACGAGAAAAACCAGCTTTAGTGTGGGCAGAAGGCAAGGCCAGAGAAAAAGAGATTTGGGATCTAGTGACGGCAGTAGTATGTGCACTGGAGGAGCGGGTATGGAAAATTTCTTTTAGGAGGGAGCTACATGTGCCGCTATGGACAGAGCGAAATACAAGAATAAAAAGCTTCAAATTGACTCGGACAGAAATGTGAGAGAGATTGTATAGGCTAAGAATATGAGAGGCACTGGTAAAGTTATCGAAACCAAAAACTATTCTTAGACACCTGTTAAATAGCCGGACATACTTATCGAAATAGTAAGAACTGAGGGTGTGGACGTATGCGCTACTTGCATACTCCAATGACGACTGAATAACACTAAGGTAAAAGCTACGCCGTGCGTGGAATGGCAAGAGATGTCTTGACATGCGGTAGGCGCCGAGTTTCCTGTTGACAGACCCAATCAAATCGTCAATTTGTGGCCCAAAAGTCAGGTGCTCGTCAATGACAATGCCAAGATAGCGTGCGGACTGCGCTCGAAGAACATGGACGCCGTCAATGACGACACTGGCGGAACCAGGCACTGCTGTTGTCTTTCTGTGAAGGAGGAGGAACTTCGTCTTTGCTGGGTTCAGCGTCATGCGCTTCTCTTCCAGGTAGACAGACAGCTTGGCCAGATCTCCGTTCAAAGCTCCGATGACTTCCTCAGCAGAGTCACCAGCTGCATACATATTAACATCATCCGCAAACTGCAGAACTAATTATAGACTGCTTGCCTCCCCTGGCCCCTTGGCCCGCGCTAGCCTTCTCCCAACACCTTACGCCACGGGACTTAGCGATAAATTCGTTGCCGAGCACCAGAGATGTGAATAGGCCTTGACGGATTATGCTAATATTTTCGTGAAATTATGCTTTTCGCATTGCTGAAAAAATTGCAAAATTATGCTATTTTTATGCTAAACGTTATACATATTCAAATAACCTACGTGGAGATAATAATTTTAATATAGCTATGAATAGGATGAAGGCCGCAGACATCACGCAACTACGTTACTTGTTTGACATGTATTACTGTGTATTTTATAACAAAAATATTATTGAAAACCCAGAATCGATTTTCTCGTTCCTATCATCAGTGGGAAAAAACGGAACTAAGGATACAACCAAAGAAACTGAAGTTAAGTACTGTAAATAGAAAGGTGTTAGAAATAACATCAAGATACAAGTGCAATAAAACCACTAGAGGAAACGCAAAAAAGGTAACAAGATTACATAACCAAAGGCGAGAAGGCACTGAACGAAGTGTCAACCTACGAATACAACTTCAGTGCAACAATGTGCTCTTTCTGCTTACACAAAACAGGCTTATGAATACGTATACAAACTGCCTCTAGGACTTTCAACTGTTGGACATAACGCGCACGACACAGTACTGAAAAATGAGAGTCATCATACACACCAAGACAGTCAGGACGAGATACAAGTGTAGATACACAGCCGACTTCTTACGATCAACACATTCATCCGCCTCATCTCGCTCCTTCCCACCCGACTCCTCCTCGTCCATCGTCCATCATTAACTTCAGTTTCTTTGGTTGTATCCTTAGTTCCGGTTTTCAATAATATTTTTGTTATAAAATACACAGTAATACATGTCAAACAAGTAACGTAGTTGCGTGATGTCTGCGGCCTTCATCCTATTCATAGCTATGTTATACATATTATGCCGCATTATGCTCACATATGCTGCTAATGTATATGATGGTTCTGTGCAAAATAACAGGGGAATTTTTTTGTAGAGGGCGCTGTACTGTACTCAACGCACCGTCCGACCTAGCTACGACCGTCACTGATTGTAGTGGACTGGACATGTTATTAAGGGAGTCTTAAACCTACGACTTCCTGGTGCATCAACTTGTACTTGTACTTGTAGAACATGTACAACTGTATAGAAGTTGATGCGAACAGGCGGATCATTCCAATTTATGCGATTCGTATGCAATTTGCCTCGAATTATGCGACTATTCGATTTTGGTAGGAATTATGCGAAAAATTATGCTAGCATAATCCGTCAAGGCCTAGATGTGAACTGGAGCAGGACGCAGAGTTATGTTACACAATCGGACCTCATTGAGGAGCATGGCTCAAAATACAATTCTTGAAAACAGGCTTGGCCGAAAGCACGTTCGAAGGCACTGGAAACTGTACTGCCACGCTGGGCAAGGTGGCCTGTAACAGCACAAAGACGTCGAACCCTGTCAATCACATGCTCTAGTTGACTAGGCATATGGTGATGAGCAGGAGGACAGCGTGGGCGAAGCATGCATGCGGCACTGGCAACCCGGCTGCACTGCCTTCCAACAATTCGATTCCTGATGGAGGGGCGGTTGAGTTTGTTGCACTCGTTGTGCTCACGGCTGTGTCGGTGGATGTCGCGCTAGATGCTGTCTTCAATGGAGGTGGAGGGGCGGTGGATGAGAGTGATGGAGCGACAGCTGTTGGACATGCCTTGTATGGCTTCTGACCACGATAGTTGCCTTCCGGTCCGTAGTTACACACCACAATGTAACCTTTGGAGTATTTACTCTTGTCGAATGGGTAGCTTTTGGTGTTTGCGGCGTCGCACAGTTTCGCCCCACAACCCAGCTGCCGACTGGAGTTCCACACAATCTGGGTGTAATGGCCGCAGACCTTGCCAGGTGTGCACGCCAGAGTGTCGTAGTCGTAGTACTGTTTCTCTTCATCCCATTTCGTCACGCTGAGGGCTGGGTCAGAGGGCGTGTACGTACTGATGAACAAGTTTTCACCCACATACCCGAAAGCTCCGTTGGCGTCCGATGTTCTATCTTCATTGTGCAAGTTAATACACCTGTCAGCGTACGCCTGTGCCACGTTGGCCAGTACAGTGTTCCACGTCATGGCTGGTAGCGGCGTACAGGGCGTAGGTGAGGCGATAGACCTGGCGTTGTTGTGCGCGTTCAGCATGGCGTCTTTCTGCGACTGCGTAAACACGGACTGCGCGCAATGCGGTAGAACGGCGCACACCGCCACTCACACAAGCACTGTACCGCACAGCATGTTGAAGACGAAACAGGGCACTGCACGGAGCCTGTGTACTGAAGTCTTGAAACGTCGCTGGATACAGACAGTGTTGCTGAGCTTGGTTTGCAGGCAAGCCCAGTCGGCACTCTACTTTAGCTCTACAGGAATGCTCACGATCCGTTCACGTCGCACACACACCAACAACTCACGACTGTCTTTCCTCCCGCCTGTGCTCCTTGTCTAAATGTCTTGCAAGGCGAGCTTCAGGACCGTGAAGGGTGCAACAACAATATAATTATTGTAAGTCTGCAGCGACCCGACACGGCATCAATGTGAACTGTTGAACAGCTTCGGGACTGACCAGGACAGACTGCAGTGATTAGGACACCAGCAATCCAGATTACAGAGTCACACGAATAGTCCTCGGACAGCCCAGCCGGCATTAGGCCGGACTGGTGGCAGGCAGGTAGCAGTGGTTTCAGTGTAGCGTAGTGTAGTTGTAGCTTGGTAGCCAGGTTGCGACAAGGAGCAATCTGTCGCCATGGGCGAGCTCTCAAGCGCGGAGCAGGTAGAGGTACTCAGTAGTATTCCCGGGATCCGTCACAACGTGATCAGTATGGTAGAAAATTTGGCTGCGTTCGTTAGTGAGTCGAGGGACAATGAAGCCCGCCTCCGGCGGAGACTAGACGATCTCTCAAACCTTGTCATCGAGCTAAGGCAAGAGGTAACATCATTGAAGGAGTCCGCTAAGGGTTGGTTCACATAAGCAAAATCGGCGCCGCAAGACATCGGCGGTGAGGCAGCTCCCGATCCGTTGCGCCTATGGTTCGAGTACCAAATCTACTACAAAGTAGTACAGAATGTGCCAAAATGCTACGACAGGTTTGCCAATTGAAGCTTGAATTCTTTGTTTCTTCAGTAGTTCAAGGTCTTTCGGTGATGGCCACTCGGTGCTACCTTTTACTGGAGATCATGAAACTACTTCTACGCATTTTATTGCAGTCTAGTAAGCGATTATGTCGAAATTATGCTTGCAAACGTTGATGAAGTCACAAGAACTTGCCAATGTATCCATTATAATTTTATATTTGTTTCAATTGTATTTGTCTCATAAGTTGCACAATGGTCAAGCAGATCGGAGAAGGACGGGCTGGTATCCTGACTTATTTGCCGCCTTGAAGCGACTACAAGAATGGCGAACGGACCTCCTCTCTAGCTTCAATTTAGGAAAATTTAGGACAAGTATTGGTTTGATATTTTGACAAAGTCTGGCTCCCGGCAGCCGGCGATCACCGGCGCGAACGGTTCACAAACCACTTTTAGTCAAAATCGTACGGGATCGGCGCCGGGGCAGATCGCAAGAGTTGGGCACTGTCCAACTTTGCCGGCGGTGCCTTGCGATATTTTACCGTATGATTTTGTTACGACTGCACTGGTTCACACAATCGCAATGTGCCGGGAGAGGTTGCAAGAAGCCCACCGCCGGTGACTCCCGGCGCTTACCGGCGATATGTGAACCAACACTGACGGCAAAGGCCAACAACGGCAAGAAAACGACCAAGCAGTCCTTTCCCAAACGACCAATCCCGATATAACAGATTTCGAGGGGTTTTTTGCCGGGAAACGTTCTCAAGCTTGAGAAATTTCGAATTTGTCTAGTTTTGGGGTATGTATGATGAAACAGGGTTATCGGCCTGGTCGAGCAGTGAAGGCTTCTTCCACATCCCTTGAATTATTTCATATGAAAGGTAATCAGTTTGGCAATGCCCTGCCGCCAGGAGAATGCAAACAACGCGATAGAATGCGTCCCGGGTGGTAGGGATGATTTTTCTAAGTGCTATAAAATAGCCGACATCGATGCGAAAGTCGGCCTCAAAGTCGACATGGACGTCTTGAACAGGTGAGATCAATCAAAATATCAATGGAGAACACCCTTAAGAATAGATGTATAGTGTTTGTAAGCTTCCAACCCTTGTGTGCTCAAGTGAAAATTGAACATATTTGGACGTGAATATATCACCAGACAAAACCTGATACTGCAGTACATTAATCATTCAATGGGTATACAGTATACAACCACCATACAAACACGAGCAGGAGAATGAATGGATAGGAGAAGAGTTGGTTACCCATTGCTGTTCAACAAAGAGAAGCACATACTAAAAGTTGAATTGGATGAAAAGTATTTACAATTCACAATTACATGTACATGTATCACTTTCTGTGATGTAACACTTGCGGCGAGGAAATGCCTGTCGCGCAGACGCGCACTGTCGCAAGCAGTTGTAGGGCCACTGTCCCAGAAGTTGGCAAAAGCATAACTCCTGCCAAGCGCGTTGTACACGAATGGAGTGCAGTTCACTAGGCTGGGTGCACGTGAGGGTACTACGCCCTGCACTTAGATGTCGCAGAAGCAAAACAGATTGTGAATCATCTGTCGCGGTTGCAGCTCATCGCAGGTGTTGCATGTTGCGCATCGTGGAAAGCAGTTCATGTATTGGGAATTGAGCTTCAGTAATAACAGAAAGAGGATCCCAGAGGATGACCGACACCGCTGACACTCTTCTGTGCAAAGTTTTGATGACGATGCTTGATTGAGACGTTAAAGGGGAAGTATACCCTAAAATCAAATTTTCACCAGTTGTAGTCTTCGGGGTGCTGAGTCGAATGGTCTTGGTCCGAGGAAGCTGCGCTCCCTTCCTACTTGAATCCCAATCGAACTCGCGCACTTCCACCGAAACTGGGTGACTGCGCCCTACTAGATGGGGATTTGTATGCAAAATGTCACTAAAAGCGCCATTTCGTTCTTATAAAAGCACGGATGACCGCGATTGGCCCATATGTTGTAGTCTTTTGGACGCTGAGTCGACTGGTTTTGGTTCGAAAAGGCTGCGATGCAGCGTTCCTCCTTTATTCCCAATCGAATCATGGTTGAACAAGCGGTCACGTGCTCCTGCGTACACCAGTCAGCTGGTCACCGTGCCTGCAGGGTACAACTAACTAGCCTGTTTGACCTTTTTTGGGTGCAGTCCTGTCACTCGAGTTGAACTCGAGTTGAACCTTGGTGTGAAAGTTGTCGCCTGCTGGCGCGGTGACCAGGTGATTTGGGCACCCAGGAGCACGTGACCGCTTGTTCAACCATGTTCGATTGGGAATAAAGGAGGAACGCTGCATCGCAGCCTTTTCGGACCAAAACCAGTCGACTCAGCGTCCAAAAGACTACAACATATGGGCCAATCGTGGTCATCCGTGCTTTTATAAGAACGAAATGGCGCTTTTAGTGACATTTTGCATACAAATCCCCATCTAGTAGGGCGCAGTCACCCAGTTTCGGTGGAAGTGCGCGAGTTCGATTGGGATTCAAGTAGGAAGGGAGCGTAGCAGCTTCCTCGGACCAAGACCATTCGACTCAGCACCCAGAAGACTACAACTGGTGAAAATTTGATTTTAGGGTATACTTCCCCTTTAACCTGCAATGGAAAACAAACAGCAGATGATACTGATTATATATATTAAGTATGGATTATACCATGAGTATGAGGGGTATACCGCGATTACTTTCGAGAGTGCGTTAGGACGAGGGACAATTGGGGGACTCGGTATACACAGAGTACGAATGGTATAATCCATTTGCATGGTACTTTCCTAAATACAGAGTGTGACCAACACGAAAGCCGCTTAGCTCACATTCGACGGGGCGCAACGGGACGCGACGTAAGGATTGACGGGAACCAACGGAACGGTTATGACGGCGACAGACAGCGTCCAATGTGAACACCAGGAACGGGAACGCAACCGTTCTACCCTACAGATTGGGAAGCAAGGGGAAGAGTTGGTCAGTTCAACTTTTCAGACCGTAGACGAGGACGCAAGCGTACAAAACAACTGCATTCTAGTGTGAACAGGGGATGTGTCGTGCGCTGACCCCTCCCGATGCGCACAACAGCACACTTAGGTTTTTTAAACATTTCGAACACGGTCAACACTACGCTTTCCATGATAACTCGCCGAATGGCTAGCACAACTGATTCAAATTTTAGGAAGATAAGATTTCGTGTCACTTCTTGAAAATCGCAATAGCTGCTGCATGTCGTGTCAAAACTACATGTTATGTCTTACGAATCGTACAAGATTTTACACCTCACCCCGGCCGTCCCAACAGGCCCTTACGTTCCATACCGTCAGCGTTACGTCGAATGCGAACTAGGCTTAAAGTTTCCTTATTCTCGAAGTGACCCATGTGAACCGAGCGGGGTATATCGCTGAATATATCCCGCTTAGAACGGCCGCTGATGAATCCATAGGCGTGCATACAATGCATACATGTCATGTTGAATATGCCGCCAGCATCAAGGCGGTGGGAACTACAACTGCATGCATACAGTGCAGCAGCCCTAGGCAACATCTCACTAAATGTAGAAGATATGGTGGGCAAATGATTACGGTCATAGAACAGATGTCATTTTATGGTGCATGCCATTACAAGAACCAGCATTTTTATGGAACGGATGGTACTAATACGGCGAAATGTCTATGGATTCAAGATAACTCACAACAGACTTAGGCAAGAACATGGTAAAACTGAGCAATGGACTGGCACATTCAAGACTGAATCATACTTCATTTCATGAACGCAATGCGCACAGGCGAAGTTCGCGCGATGGACCAATCAAGTAACTCAACTCAAGATCAAGTCAACTTTCTCACCGCAAACGGCCGTTGTGACGTGTTTCCCTTGCGCAAAGCGAAGTGTGAATGAGGCTTTACTCTACAGATCCAAAACTGTAAACCAGTGAAGACTACAGCTTAGAAGACGGTATTATAATGTTGTGCATTGTAGATCTACTTGCCAAATGTGTGTGATCCTCTATGTCACATACATGTACATAGGGCCAAGCAAGCACAGCAAGTTCTGAATTTTAGGTATTTGGAGGTCGTGAACAGATCAGATTTGTCTTGTAAGTGATAGGTATTGCTTACCTCTATATGCTGCCGCCTTCGTGCTGGCCGAAAACGCTGCGTGCTCTGGCGATAATCCGGCTTGAAATTAGGTGCATAAAAATGCCAATTTCAGCTTCGTTCACAACATTTTCGATATACGTCTCATCTACGAAACTTCACTAAAAATATATCTGCCGAAAGAGCGTCCCGTAAAGAATACATGGTGTGAAATAAAACGAGGTGGTGCAAAGTAAAACTACGTAGGCCATGTAAAACGGCTTCCATCTCTCAGAACCAATTTAGGACAGTTCTCAAATTTGAGAACATTTTTTCGCTTTCGCGGCAAAAATCAGTCAAGAATCTGTTATATCGGGATTAGTGGGAGAGGTCTTTTTTTGCGCGTCTGGGGAAGGACTGAAGGAGAGTTCAAAAGCTCATGTACGGGATGACCGCGCATCCGTGACCCCCTGTACACGTACAGACCAACTTTCTGTGAGCTCGGTTCACGAACCGACCCCACAGTCCGACAGTCCAAAGCCCCTTGCTCGAGCACGTGTACCAGAGGTGCATCGTGATGAAAGATCGGCAAATTCAAACCTGCT